GGAATGTCTACTAGGGCATTCCGGTCCTATGTGAGGAGGCAATTAAAGTAAAAATAAAGTTGATTCTGTGTCTGATGTAGGTATGTATCAAGGAATAAATACCTGTAAATAGATGGTATTTAAGCTAGAAAGACAAAGTCAGCATAAAACCAGAAAAATGTAAAGTTGGCATGAATTCACTTAGGCTGGAAATTGGAAGAAATTCTCTAAAGTAGGGGAATAAGGTTCTGCTACACCTTTTCTTTAGAAAGAACCGGGACAGCAAAAAATCTAAGCACTTAGCATTGTTTTCTAAATAAATGAGAGTTGTGTGAGCAACTGGTGTGTACCTGAATGGTTCCTACCTCACCAAAGAGCCCTTTGGAATCTGTTGGCCAGTTTTAATTAAAGCTGATATAAAATAATAGATCTTAAAGGTAATTATATTCCTACAGTTTTCATGAAAATAGGGACTAGGTAGAGTAAAGAGAACCCATAAGAGATAAAACTGAGGGAAAGGCTTTATTATGAACTCATACCTTACCAGTCACCAGCGTGTCCCTGGGCTCACCAGGGCATTTAAACGCCTTATGAATGTTCACCTATGGGAAAAGCATTGAGCAGAGCTCACACTTTCTCAAACACAGAAACCTCAAGCTATGTAGGAAACCAGGTTTCCGTAGTTCCTGTGGTCACAGCACTACGTTTCTGACGCTGGAGCCTGATACACAGCGAAAGGGATCGAACAACGAGTCTGTCTGCAGGACTGGTTTTGATGACTCGACCAAGAGAACTGATTTTCTGACCCCATTGCTCATGCTGTGTGAAATTGGACGCATTTCATCCTTACGTGACCTGTAGAATTACAACATTTGTGCAGATTTACCCCTCATAAAGCATACAAACTGACACCTTTGGCTGGATCATGTTTTAAAGCGTTTGAATTAGATCTGTAACTAATGGTGGCTTTGTTTTTTTGAGTCCTATTAATGATGAATATTTACAAATTTGTCCCCATCTGGATCTATAGATTATTTCAAACACACTGAAATTTTTGCAGAGTTTGTACTGCACTGAGAAATCTCAGGTAGAGGAGAGATTACCTCTTGGGTGTTTTTTTGTTTCACAATTATGAAATATTTCTGTGGCAACTTCAACAATAGCTTTCATGGAACAGGAAAAACAAAGAGTTTATTTTTAGGTGCTCGTTTGGTGTATCCTATCCCTTAGGGCTGTGCCTATTTCCTCTCTTAATAAGCCTCATCCATCTCACCAAAATGATGGACATCTTAACTTCATTGCTGGCTGAATCCAGTGTAAAGACTAGCCCTTTCCCGAATTTACGTTCTAAATTCACAAGCGCACTTTGTATTTTGCCATGAAGAGGTCGGACATGTACAGACATAGGTGGGTGCAAGGAAGGGATCCCTCCCATTTCCAACTCATTCCCAACAAAGGCCCAAGAAGCTGGGCTAACTTGTTTTTCCATGGCTTCGTGACAGATGTTCCAGTAGGCATCGTCTGATACCCAGTGACCAGCCGTCATCAGAGGGGCAGGAGAAACATGCTTGTAACATTACGAATCTACTTCTGTCGTCAACCCTGAAAAACCCTTGAAAGCAGAAGGCGGCTGGCATGCTGAATGCACTTTTGTGCTCGGGCAGCTCATGACAATCTTCCCATTGTTACCATTTCTGTGTCAGACGTATTGGCTGTTTCTCAGCGTACTCTTCGGATATGAAATCTCATAACCAGACCCTTTGCTCCTTGTGCTCCTTCTCCCAGCGGACTCCTAACTCCCGACTTGGACTTGTGAGTACAGCCTAGCACAGATGTTGAATAATAGCAGTAGCCACAGCAGCAGTAAAAATAAAGGAAATTTTCCTTTACTTACGTGATCTCTGTTACACAAATCGTGAGCAACTTTGTAGATTATCAGCGGTATTTAGACAACTACATCCCTCATTCTGATGGGAGTTAGGCACTTCAATGCCTTTAAGGATTTGTGCCTCTGGGGCTTATTCCAGATAACAGAAGTCTATGGCAGAGTCTGTGGGAGATAAACTTGAATTGCCCACATCTAAGGGCTGGGGGAAGGGTGGGCAGTACCACAGGCAGAAAGAGCACAGCTTTTCCTGCCTGCAGTATGCCTGGCCTCCATAGAAAGCCTGGATAGAGCCTGAAGAGCTGGCATGCTGAGAGCCTTAAAAACGACTGTATCTGAGGTCAGATGGGAGCTAAGGACCACGGGCCAGAGTTGGGCACGGCGTTAGAAACTACAGACCCAAACTGTAGGGTTGGAAGGCCACCGGTGATATTCACCATCATTTACAAACAGCTGTATTCAGTGGCGAGCACCTTGCAAGCTACTGGGAACCCAGATGTTCTGTTTTACTTTGGGATTTTTGTTCTGTTTTGTTTTCACAGCAAAGGAGACACAAAAATGAAGCAAGATTTAAGAATTCTTAAAAGAACCCTGCTCTTGGACTTGAGAAATCCCCCTCTATTTCTGTATAGAAGATTCATCATCATTCTTGAAGGTTCCCCATATCCTCATTAAATCAGCCTATCTACATGTGTGAAGAGGAACATTAGGTTTTCTTTTTGATGGCAAGCATGCCCATTTAAACAAAATGATTTGCATTTTCTCATAATGAGCCACTGTCAGTCATTAGTCCGCCAAAGTGATCCCATCCTGCAGACAGACAGCTGCCAGAAAACAGTCAAAGCAAGAGCCTGACCCTGCTGCTCTTGCTGGACATAGACTTCCCTTGGAAATGGGCTTTGTATCCCATTAAGAAAGGCAGGAACTAGCCTTTAATAAGAACTAATAAGAAAGTTTATAAGAACTATTTTAAGAATACGAATTGTTCTTTTAAAAGCTCCTTTAAGGAAACATTAACTCTTTAAGATTTAACAAAGGCTAACATCAGCAACAAGGGATAACAGCAGCAAAATGGAATGAACCCAAATATCCAAGGATCCAAATACCCTCTTTTGGACTGACGTGATCCTTCTGGAGTAGGAATAAAGTGTTTCACCCTTTATTACTTATTGAAGGGAAAGAAAGCCATGATATTTCTAAAGCCTCTGGCGGGAAAGCATGTCTCCCGAACTGCCTTTGGCAACACCGCGGCTCTTCTTCAGATGTCGCTTCACCGTTCCTGCTCATAAACTGCCGGGGGT